CACGATTGAGCCTGCTATTGTGGGCTCAATTCCAGACTGTGACACGGTCACAGAGTACCTAGATAGAATAAAGAGTCAGTTCACTTTGGCTCTTCAAAGATTTATATGCAACCCAAATGATCAAGCACCGGTTCTGAAAAGGTACTCTGGTGGCGGCAGTGGCATTAGAGAGCACATACTGAGAATGAGCAATCTGGCATCTAAGCTCAAACCAATGGATTTGGCACTCAAGGATGAGTTTCTTATTCATTTGATTTTTGCTTCTTTGCCCAAAGAATTTGACACCTTTGTTGTTAATTACAACATACAGCCTGAAAAATGGGATTTAGAAAAGCTCATAGCCATGTGTGTGCAGGAGGAGGAAAGAATAAAAGTTTCACAAGGTGGTTCTGTCAACTACCTAAAAGATAAGAAAAGAACTATTATAATGACTCTTCCTCCAAGTCATCTAGAAAAGGTCCCATGCAACAGATCTCGAACCAAAGCAATTCCAAAGGGCTAAAGATCGTTGTCTCCACTGCAAGAAGACGGGATATTATAAAAAGAACTGTCCCGATTTCCTAAAGATGATAATAAAGAATAAAGGTGAGAACATTATTACGTTTGTAAATGAATCCTTGTATGTAAAGTTTTCAAAATCTACTTGGTGGATTGATTCAGGTGCAACTATTCATGTTGCTAATTCATTACAGGGATTCCGTTCGATGAGAACTTTGCAAAGAAGCGAAAGTTTCATTAAAGTCGCAAATGGAGAACAAGCAGAGGTTGAGGCCGTTGGAGATCTTCCTCTAGAGCTTCCAGATGGCTTTATACTTTTTCTTAGAGATGTTCTTTATGTACCTTCTTTGCAAAGAAACCTGATTAGTGTATCAAAGTTGGACCATGATGGTTATGATTGCCATTTTGGAAATGGCAAATGTCAGATATTGTTTAATAATAAATGTGTTAGTCTTGCCTTCCGACAAGACGAGCTTTATTTGTTATCACTTCGTGAAAATGTGAATTCTGTATGTGATGTGAATGAAAATGTATCCTCATCGAACAATGGAAATGAGAAACGAAAGAGAGCTCACGATGCGTTGTCGAAATTATGGCACCGCTGTTTAGGCCATATTTCGAGGGGGAGAATAGAAAGACTAGTTAAGAATAATATTCTTCCTTCATTAGAGCTCTCGAGTTAGAACAATGTAGAGATTGCATAAAAGGAAAGTATGTAAAGAAAATTAAGAAAGATGCCAAACGAAGCACGTGAATTCTCTGAGATTATTCACACGTACATATGTGGTCCTTTTCCCGAAAAGTGTGGATGGTTATGATTCATTCATAACATTCACGATTTATTACTCTCGTTTTTGCTATATTTATCCAATTAAAGAAAGAAATGAAGCGTTGGATAAATTCAAAATATTTAAAGCGAAGTTGAAAATCAGCATGATTTAAAGATTAAGATAGTCGTCCATTTGTGGAGGAGAGTACTACGGTGGGCATACCCCATATGGACAAGTTCTGGACCCTTTGCAAGGTTCTTACAGAGAATGGTATAGTCGCCCAAAGATTCAACACCGGCGAACCTCAAAGCAGAATGGAGTACCGAAAGGCGTACTGCACTACCACGATGGATATGGTGCGTAGTATGATAAGTTACTCCACTTTACCGATGAGTTCAGGGATGGAGGCGTTAAAACCGCCATTCATATTCTCAATAGAGTACCAAGTAAGTCGGTGCCCAAAACACCGTATGAGTTGTGGATGTGAAGAGTACCCTCACTTAACCACTTGCGTGTGTGGGGGAGCCCTGCTGAGGCTAAAGTTTTTAACCCAAATATTGGGAAGCTAGATCCCAAAACAGTGAGTTGCCATTTCATTGGCTACCCAGAAAAGTCAAAAGGTTTTCGTTTTTACTGTCCTAACAGACATACAAAGTTTGTGGAAACGAGACACGCTGTCTTCCTAGAAGATGAAATGATTAGGGGGAGCATGGTAGCTCGAGAAATTGACCTTGAAGAGAAGCGGGTGTATGCACCCACTCCGATCATTCATGAGCCATTTTTCTCACTACCTGCTGTTGCTACACCGACAATACAAGACACTGTGGTGCCAGCACCTATTGTTATCCCGCCTGTGGCAACAATGAATGATGATGAGGACCCTGTGCCTCAGGATCCTATAGAATCTATTGCCACACATGAGGGGGAGCAACAACAGCCTCAAACAGAAAATGTGCCAATTGAGGAGGTCCCTAGAAGGTCTCAAAGAGTTAGAAAATCAGCTATTCCTGCTGATTATGAAGTGTACAACACTGAAGAATTTTAAATGGGGGATGATCCCACCTCATTTGAAGAAGCCATGAAAAGTGATCATTCATCAAAGTGGCTTGAGGCCATGGAAGATGAGATGAGATCAATGAATGCAAATAAAGTTTGGGATTTGGAGATAATTCCTAAAGGAGCCAAAAGCAGAGGGTCAGAATGGGTCTACAAAATAAAACTTGACTCTCAAGGGAATATAGAAAGATATAAAGCCCGACTTGTGGCAAAAGGCTTTACACAAAGAGAAGGGATTGATTACAATGAGACTTTTCTCCGGTCTCGTGTAAGGATTCCTTCGAATCATAATGGCATTAGTGGCACATTACGATTTGGAATTACATCGATGGATGTAAAGACGGCATTTCTCAACGGAGACTTAGAGGAAAATGTTTACATGGCACAACCGAAAGGTTTTGTCATGGAGGGAAAAGAACGTTTGGGATGCCGCCTAAAGAAATCTATTTATGGATTAAAATAAGCTTCAAGACAAGGGTACTTGAAGTTTGATCGGATTAATAAAGAATTTTGGGTTTAAAGATAATGTTGAGGACAATTGTGTCTCGCAAAGTTTAAGAATGGGAAGTTTATCTTCCTTGTCCTGTATGTGGATGATATCTTACTTGCAAGTAGTGATGTCGGTCTACTCTTTTGGAAACAAAGAAGTTTTTGTCCTCAAAATTTGATATGAAAGATCTTGGTGAAGCTTCGTTCGTTCTAGGGATCGAGATTCACCGAGATAGAAGTAAAGGGTATTAGGACCGTCACAAAAGGCATACATAGAAAAAGTCTTAAAGAAATTCAAGATGCACAAATATAGTCCCTCACCTGCTCCTATAGTCAATGGCGATAGATATGGGGATTTTCAATGCCCCAGAACCAATATGAGATCGATCAAATGAAAGTGGTTCCATATGCTTCAAATTTGTCGGAAGCTTGCAATATGCTCAAGTGTGTACGCATACGACTTGACATTTGTTACCGGGTTATTTGCGCGATTCGAGCAATCTCGAATAGAACACTGAAATTGGTAAAGAAAGTCTTGCGTTATTTGCAAGGAACGAAAGGCCTCATGATGACATATAGAAGATCCGATTCACTCCATATAGTGGGATATTCAGATTCGATTATGCGGAGATAATAGAAAATCCACGTGCCCGATATGTGTTCACTCTCAGGGGGGGAGCTATTTCATGGAAAAGCTCAAAGCAAACCGTCACTACTACATCGCCCACAATGTATGCCGAGTTTATAGCGTGTTATGAGGCAACGGGCGGTGAACGCTAAAGAAGTTCATACCGGTTTTGAAGGTGGTTGACGACATCAATAGACCATCAAAGTTATATCATGATAATAATCCAAAGACAGATAATATGCTCACAACAATAGGTCAAGTGGTGCTGCCAAACACATTGACATAAAGTATTATGTTGTGAAGGATAAAGTCCGGGATCAAATGATAAGTCTTGAGCATATAAGTACCGAAAAAGATGCTCATGGATCCGCTTACAAAAAGCTTACCACCCAACGTGTTCGGAGAACATGTAGTCGGCATGGGTTTAAGGGAAAGCCTATGATTCTGGACTATAAAGGGCCCAAAAGTTAAAGTAACTATTTCAGATCGAGACGTGCATTGTAGTTTGTTAAATCAATCGGCGATTGACCGTGACGATGAGACATGCTCTATGCATCATCATCGTGAAGAAATGAGTAAGGATAAAAGGATTGAAGTTTAAAGTTTAAAGATAAAAGTAATGGTGAGATCAAGGGGGAGAATGTTAGATTGATCTCCTAACCAATAAGCCCAACGGCTTATTGGGCCTTGGTCACGCGCCCTGATCGGGGGCGCCCAACCCTACATGGTTGGTGGACCCCCGTCGTACTGCGCTATATAAAGAGGTGGGGGCCGGCGGCTCAAAGCACGAGGTTCGCCGTGAGCCGCAAACCCACCGACAAACCCTAGACCGATCTAAGAGGGCGCGACCCGGCCGGACAGGAAGCTCCGCGATCCTCGCCGTCAAATCAACACTACGCCCGACCGCGACTTGCATCGACGTCTGCGTCCGAACCTCTACTCCACCCGTCGCTGCCCGTGTGCTGCCTCCATCACCGAACCAGCGATGGCCAGCACAACCACGACTTCATCTGAAGGCTCAGGTTCATCACCAGCCCCTCTCTACCCTATCTCCCTCTCGGTGTAGTGTTCTAGTCTAAATGTGCATGTACTTCATTGATCTAAGTGTTCATCCGTCTAGATCTACCCTAGTCGATCCACATAATTTAACACGGACGACACCGCGGAGCAAGGCTGTTCGGCCCCACCGACGACCTCCACGTCGGGGACGGCCTCCACGCCTTCAGGTCCAGGGGCTGGGCATGCGGCCTCAGCCACGAAGGCGCGCTCTACGTCACGGGAAGTGTCGTCGTCGCCGCCGCCGCCGTCTTCTTCAACTTCGCATCTGGCACCACCTTCAGGCCCGTGTCAGCGTCACTCCCAAGCGGCGGGGTGCACGGCGCTGCAGTTCGCCAACACCAGCCCCGCCGGAGACCTTACACGCGTCCTCACCATGTCTGGTCGTGGCCACTAAGGAGGATGACTGCAACGATGACCAGACTGTGGTTGCGCCCCGGCCTACACTGGTCAAATTCCAAAGTGACGTTCCCAAGCAGGTCAAACCTTTGCATATCGTTCTGATGGCCGCTACAAGTCAGTCGACATCTGCTCCATTGGGTGTTCAACTGGGCTTCGATGGACTGCTGCCCAGGTATACTCCTTTGCTGGATGTTCTTGTATTTGGGTGCTGCCAAATGAACATGCACTACAAAGTTCCTTGGCCACCACCTGATCGGACATGGTATGCTTACTGTCAAGTTCAGCATTGGGGCCTGGTACAGAAAATTGGGATTCATTTATGGGATAGTGGCATTGCTCTGTCATATTTTGCTGTCGATGCTCGTGAGACTCACAATGTGTTTGAGAGCAAGGGAGATGTGCAGCAGAATCCTCCAGGGCCACCACCTATATGCAGCTGTCTTGCAGCTCACAGGCTTGATATATTGCCACTTCCATGGCCACCAGATCCATGTGAGATGATAGTTGACAGTGGTATAGCAGCATATTCTATCCTTGCACTGACAGATTGCCATTGCACGAGTGAAGCTGGAGGAGGGGTCAGTCGGAGCTTTTTGATTCATACAACACTGCCACCCTTGGTTCAGTCAACATTTTTTTCGGGGATTTTCCAACCCTTCAGGAACTCTCAACTTTCAGTATGGGTCACTCCCATGGCGTCAATGGGCCAGCAGGTGTTTGATCGTGGCAAATACATGGAGGCCATTTTCATGCAGTTACTGTTGCAGGCTAGAGCAAATCCTAATACTCCTGCTGAGCTGAGAAGGTTGCCAATGGGGCTTGTTGTGCTGTGCAAGTGCAAGGATGAAGTGGGGCTGCGGCTGCCCAAGCTATTCGATAAAATGCAGCCTGATGTGCTTGCGCTGTTGACAATCTCTTGGCCTCCACCTACTTGGTCAGGGAGCTCAGTTCTGGGAACTATCAAGCCATTTCTGAATCTACATGAGTTTTGGCAGCAAAGACATGTTCACTTGCAGTTTACAGGATTGCCCTCTCTGTGTATTTCGGAGCTAAAACCGAGGCCACCACCTACAGGCATGAGAAATGAGTTGCTCCAAGTTGACAGAACTTCAGTTTACAGAAGCTATGGCATGTTGGCTCAAAATACAATCAATCAGGCAGCAATGTTTGTGTGGAGACAAGAGTGGTGTGGCTTTCAAAACAATTGTTACTACTTGGAGCAAATTCTTATCTGGTGCTTGTTGCTGTGTACAGCTAACGGGAGATGTTGGAAAGTTGCTGGCTCATGGCAATGCAAAACTAGTAATCAAGAGCAAGTGCTTGCTGAAATTTCCGATTGCCGAGGTGATCAACAGGCGGTTAATGAGTTTCATTTGCTGGGATCAGAGTACTGCAGTACTATTCTGGAACATCTGATCTTCATTTTTCTTGACATGATGGAGAATTCTTCAGTGAAGGACAATTCCAATCCTCTCACAAATACTGCTTATGCCAGTGCGCTTTTAATAAAGCAGCAAGAGCAGTTGCTTCAACATTATAAATTGGGAAATTCACAGAGGTTGCAGCGACAGCAGCATGGACAACAGCTCTATATCAAAGGCGCGTCTATGTTTGCGGATGATGATATGCCACCGGTCGAGCTGCTGAGAACAAGATGCCAGCTGTAACACCTCTGGTGTTTTGACCTATCATTAAAATTTGACATGTCATCATATGCATTGCAAATCATTCATAAAGTAGAAAAATTTGAATGCATTCACTAAATAAGCTTTATTTCATAAGTTGTTATTTTATGTGATACAATGTGATTCAAAACTCTGAATGAAAATCATGACCACAAGAGTCAAAATTCATGTGATCATGTGTTAATTGACTCAAACAACCCTAATGGGCCATGTTACTGGTAAAAAATCAAAGTTAAGTCAAAAGGTAAACAAATCAAATTTGAATTCAAATTCCAATTATAAAAGTCCTTTTTGCCCCTTTTGTCTATTTCAAAATCCATTTGGAATTTGGGGTTGTGACAAAAAGCAAAGTTGAAGCTTATTTTATAAGGATCAACTTTGGTATTCAAAGTTTTGAAAGTTTACATATAAAATTTGGAGTAATTTTGAAATGATTCAAATACTCAAATGCACCCCAAATTCAAATTTTAAAATGGAGGCAGAATTTGAAAATATTCCTTGAAACAAAGTTGTAGAGTTTGAAAAGTTAAGCAACTTTCATTTTTGGAGATTTTCAACTTCTTTAGAAAATTTGTGAGTAATTTGCAAAATTAACACAGTGGCAATTCTGTAAATACTTCAAAAATCAAAACCAGCCGAGCGCCACCTCCCTGCTTGCCGCCCGCGCCACGCAGCTGCCGCCGCCGATCATTTTGCGCCGCTTTCTCGTGTGGTGACACGTAGCAAGCTCCGTGGCGAGCTCGTGCGTGAGTTGTCGACACCGGGCGCGTTCTTTGCGGCTATAAATAGGAACACCGCCGCCGTCACTCTCCGTTTTCCCCTCTGCTCTGCTCCGCCACCGAACAGCTCCGCCACTTGCCGTAGCCACCGTCAAACCGCGTCCGTCGTGCCCAGCTACACCAACGCGATCGCCTCGACCTTGCGTTCCTCTTCGACTTGCTCGCGTCGCTGGTGTTGGCCGGAATCGCCCGGCGCAACGTGTTCTTCCCCGAGACCGGCCGAAGCTCCGCCACCATCGACCTCGTCATGGCCAGGACGTTCCAGCCCGTCTCCGTCTTCACCAAACACACCGGCGTGATCGTGGTGAGCTCCTGAACGTGATTCTCGCTCTACTTTAGCCTCTACCGCACCGTGGTCGGGATTGTGCCGTGCGCCGTCGTGCCCGCGCCGCCATGGCCGGCGTGGAGCTCCCTCCGGTGCGCCTGTTGCCGTTTTTAGGGCTGGGATAGATTCGTTGGACGTTGTAGATCATGTAGGTGCGGTCTGCCTCGCCGGAGCGTCGCCGTCGGCGCGTTTTGGCCGACCAGTGATGGCAGCGCCGCCGTGTTCTGTGTCTGTGTCACTGACGAGCAGGGCCCGGCTGTCAGTGAGAGAGAGAGAATAGTGGAATTTTGTTATTTCTGGATTTTGAATAGTGCAGTAACTTTGAAAATTTATAGGATATTAATTACAGCTCCAAAAATTCTAAAAATTTATTTGTAGCTTCTGTACATGTTCTATTATGGTTTAAAAAATTGAAACTTGAAATTTGGATAAATTTTTAATGTTCAAAAATTCAGTCAATTAATTGATCAATGTAATTTCCATAATTTTTGTAGGTCACTGTATAGCTCCAAAAATTATGAAATTTATTTTGGTACACTAATTTGTTATGAGGAAGCTTACATAAAGTTTTGAGGTAATTTGGAACAAGTTCATTTTTGGGCTTATTTTCAAATTAATTAAAAAATGAATAAAAGTAAACCCTAAGTGTTAGGGTTAGGGTTTGATCTTGTTTGAGTCATGTTTTGTGACCAGTCGGGTTTCAAGATCAATTTGGTCAAGTCACTTAGGTCATAAACCCTAGATGTTAGTGTCAATTAGTTTTGTTGACTTACAACTGTATCGCGAAGAAAAGTTGTATTCAAGATGTTATTACATTTCATGTACCATGAAAGCATCATGTTTACATTATCATCATATTGAAGCATATGTTATTGTTTCGTGTAGAATCCGAGAGTGAAACGATTCTAGTTGAGCAAGTTGTGGAAGAATCCCTGGTTGTCACGGGATTCGATAATTGTGGTACTGATCCGGAACCCGAGATCGTCAACGAAGGCAAGCCCCGGTTTATGCATTAAACCATTACCTTGTTTACTTTGAAAAGTTTATCATCTATGTTACTTATTGCATTAAGTTGATTTATTCAAATATTACCTACTTGATGCATTGCCTTCCTTGTTAATTGTTTACCATCCTTAAGATGATTTCATTTACAAAGGCGTAGAATTGCTTAGTATGCTTTATGGTAGGTTTTCAAAGTAAAAGTTTCGATACAATCAAAGATGGCATACTGGCCAAAGAAAGAAAGAAAGAAGATAGAATGAACTAGAGACTAGTTGGGTGGCTTATCTTGAATGATGGGTAATGTTGCCGACTATGTCGCTTAAAGGCCACTCATCGTGGATCTTCTGAATGAGACACTTTGTAGTATTGGTCACATACTCCGGTAAGCCTACTTCGGCTAATCCGATACTAAGACGAATGCCTATACACTGGGAGTGGTGAGATAGCGGGAGTAGCGTGTACCCTCGTGGCTTGAATGTGGCCGGATTTGAGGCGTGCTGTGCTCTCGGGTGGCGTGGAGACGGCTTAATATAGGAGGATCCGGTAGCGAGGTTGATATATGTAAGCTTAAGTTCTACATATGTCGTGTGATAAGGAATCCCCAGCTGGGACTTGAATCAATTCGAATTGCCAGTGCTCCGCGGATATGGAGACTCGATTCATTACAGAAGCAATGCAGGACTGGTGAATTACTAAAACATGAGAAAAAGAATGGAATGAGAAGGATTGGAACATGGGATATGAACACTTAGTTGGAGATAATGAACTAACGTACTTAGGGGTAAAACTTGAAACTAGGATCAAGAATAGTAAGCTTTTGGCAAAAAACTTTTGAATCTTGCTACATCCTTACCTTGACCCAACACCTGCATCCCTAAGACCTTCGCTCTTTTTCGTCGGGTCAGTCTTGTTGAGTACTTTTGTACTCAGGGTTTGTTAACCCTTGTTGCAGGTGAGTCGCATGCGCAGGCTTGTTTTGGTCCCTGCTGCATGTCAGTGTTTGAAGTTGATGACGATGAGGAATGATGAATGGCCTTTGGACAAGGCACTAGTTGTGTGAAATAAGTAATGTTAATGTAATATTATCCCGCTACTATGGTTGTATGACACTTATGGTTTTGTAAGTTTGAAACAACTGTTTGTAATATTAAAACTTAAGTCTTCCGCTTTATAATCTCTGGTATGTATATTGAAAACTGTTGTAATCTGCAATGATTGTGATTGGGATCCTGTTTGGAAAAGATTCGTGGATGATTCGGGTTTCTCGAGGACACCCGACAGACCTGTTAAGTTGTTGGGAACTGGTGTACGCTATCTGAGGTCTGTTGAGACATCGATAGGTGCACGTGGGCCCGATTTCTTAGGAGGTTCTGCCACACCAGCTAAGTAAACTTGATGTTGCTTTCTGGTCACAAGGGGATGCTGGCCGTGATGGCAATGCTCCGCCAGTCTTTGCAGTTCTGGCATGCCCCCATGCATACTACAGCAAGCTTCAGTTTTACAACCTGAACCTGATGATTGAAGACCCATAAGGCTACGGGTATCAAGAAAATATTTCATGTTGATCACAGCTTGAGGGCAAGCTGCTGCTTAAGCGGGAGGGAATGTCATGACCCAGGTGTGTGTATGCTGGGCCTACTGGGTTGGGCCTCGGCATGCTCATGGGCCTCTGGCCAGTAGGTGTGCGCGTGTGGCCGTCGGTAGATATATGCCATGGCCTGTAACCGAAGGGGGCATCGAACAAGAATAGAACTTCGTCGTCTACCTCCCGACCTCTCTCCAAGTCCCAAAACCCTCTGCTGTTCTTGCTTCTGTACCCCGATTCTTTGTTATTCCCTGTTTAAACTCCCTCTGATTCTTCAGATATTGTATCAGTTACCCTTGTAATAGTGATTGGAAGTCAAGGTTCGTGACAATGAGTCATATAATACTCCCTCTATTCCAAATTATAAGTTGTTTACTAGGATCATAGGTGCAAAACAAAAACAAGAACCTAGAAAAGCCAAACTAAAAGGAGTCAAGGCACCTAATTTTATTTCAAAGGGGAAAAATGCATGTAAATTATTTCTTTCGTAACCACATTGGTACACATCCTTCTCACAATTGCAATTTTGGCATCCACTTGCCCAGTTGCCCATGCAGGCTGCAACGAACTAAAAGGTGTGGTCAGCGTTCTATGGAAGATCTGGTGAGCGCTATCTTGGTGTGGCATTTCATCGACCAAATTTGGTGTATAAGCCATGACATGTCACAAGAACTAAGTAGTGTCCCTCTCAATTAGTTCACGGGATGACAATGGAGAGGAGAGGAGGCGCACGACACAACGGGTCAATTCAAACATAATCAGAAGAATGGACGACACGAAAATTTAGCCTTGGACAAGGGTAGAAACTGCAAGTAAAAGGTAGATGACACGAACCTGGGCAGTGTCGGAGGCAAGGTGTGGCCCGACCTGACCAGCCTTGATGATGAGGGCTCCGAAGTCTTTTACTGCCATGTTGGCGCTTGAGCTTGTGAAAATGTTATGTTAGAAATAAAAATACAAAGAGCTTGTGAAAATGTTAGAAATAAAAATAGAAAAAAAACACGGGCTGCGGGGTTAGACACCCCGAGCTATTTTAGCTT